ACGGAATGACAACTTCATATTGCCAAATGACAACTTTACTATGCCAAATGACAAGTTCCTATAAGGTTTTGACACATTTCGTTTTCTGACAGCAACCACTTCTGATAAACACGGAATTACACTTTGCACATTTCTGACAGCAACCACTTCTGATGAACATGAAATTACAAGTGCACAAAAGCAAATGACAACTTAACTATGCAAAATAACAAGAAGTGACAAGTTCTGATTTCTTTGACAGCAACAAGTTCTTTACAACATTCAATGACAAGTGCACATTAACTTACATCTTCCACTTAATGTCCCTTTGTCCCAAACATAGAAGTAACAAAAAATATATGTGCACATCTACTAACATCCTGCTCCCAAAAAAATTAAGAAGGATGAACCCTATATGTGCCAAAAAAATTAGTTGTCCCATTTGTAAGTGGAAGTCAACTTGGGTTAGGATTTTTGCATGTCCTCTTTGTATGTCCAGGATGAAGACATCTAGTGCAATGATATATTTTTTTGTTGTGGAATTGTGATTCCTTTCTATTTCTTCTTGGTCTTCCAGAAGGCCTAGCAGTGACTGGGGGTAAAAGCAAGGGTTGAGCAGTAAGATTCTCAAACGTATAGTCATTCAGGTGAGGCATATCAATTGTCACCACTGGAACCATGCTCCGGGCATAGATTTTTTCTTGGGATGAACGTTTGTAACACTCTTCAACATAATCATAAACGTTTCCCCCTATGGTCTTAATGGCTGCACAAGCATGTGAGCATGGAATCCCTAACATTTGCCAAGTTCCACAGCTACATTTGTGTAGGCCAAGGTCCACTCTTTGGTCTCCACGTGATGTGTGCACGCATATTCTTCCCCCTCCATAATTCTCACAGTGCATGTACCTACCGAAATACACATGCTCCAATACTTTTGCCTCTATTTTTGGCCCAACGCAATTACTCCACTTAGTCATTGCTGCATATGATGCATGCATCTTTCTTGCTACTTTCTCCCGGTGCTCATGGATCATTTGGGCCACGTTATGCTTCCTCTCCCTTACCATCCAAGCATTAAAAGATTCAGCTAAATTAGTTGTTATGTTGTCCCACCTTCTATATGGGAACTTGCTCAATGCCCACCTATCCACATCACCTTGATTGATAACCCACTCATATAACTCATGAGACATGGTTCTGAGATCATCCAGCGCATGATCAAACTCATCCGCAAGTCTTGCATAAGCCACTTTATCCAGTACCTTTAATGCATCTTCCTTTGAATTTTCACTTGTCCTTCTCCGACCTCTGTTTAATTTCATATATTCAGAGCTAAAGTTCTCCTTCACATGCCTATAACAGTATGCATGCCTTTCACCCCCAAATATTGCTTGCACAGCACCAATTATAGAATTATGTCTATCTGACACAATAGTCAGTTGCATTGAACCAACAATTTGTTTAATCTTGTGAAAAAACCACGTCCAGTCATCAAGATTCTCTCCCTTCACCACTGCTATTGCAAACGGCAACATCTCATTATCCGCATCATATGCCGAAGCTGACAGTAATGTCCCCTTATATGGACCACTTAAATGAGTACCATCAACATATAATATAGGCCTTGCACCGTTCAAAAAACCCTCAACACATGCACCGTATGCAATGAACACACGCTCAAATCTATTACCAATGGAGGCCCATTCAGCAACCGTTTTGTCATCAGTTTCCTTCAACCTTTCACATAACCATGGTATTAACATATAGGACTGTTCCGGTTTCCCATGTATTTCTTCCATTGCCTTTTCCTTTGCTCTATATGCCTGACAATATGTAAGCCTCACACCATACTCCCTCTCCAACATCTTCCTTATCTCAGTGGGCCGTTTTTCAGCATGGTCCCTTATCTCTTCAACTATTACTGATGATGTCAACGCAGCACTCCCACCATAAGTCACAATCAAATTGTCTTGGGCTGAATGAATGTGCTTATTGCAAAATGTAGTCACACGTAATAGATGACTGTTCTTTCCAACAGCATTTGCACATATCTTCCAAGGACACCCTTCTACTTTACACCTCACATTCATCTTCTCCTTACTATTCCTGATATATCTTGCTGCAAACTTCTCTGCAATACTGAACCTGTACACAGCTTCCCTAAAAGCAACAGCATGTGGAACATATTGGCCCACTCCTACAAACACTCCTGCCCATTTCGTACAATTCATCTCGCCCGTCAGTCTTCCCTGACTCTCTGAACCACTACACTTGCTTCTCTGACTTGATCCGCCTCCTTCAAAAGTTAGGCATTCAACTCCATTCTCAACATTCACTGGCTCATGTTCATCACCAATGGTCGTTTCAAATGTATTCATATATTGTGAAAGTCCAAATAAATTCTCACTCCTGCCACCATAATACCAAGTTAGGACAGCTATATTCAAACGACAGGTTTGAATAAAATAACATGTCTACATATCTAAATAACAAGTCCGCATATGGTTATTACAACTTTACTAACTAAAATAACAAGTCTACATCTACAAACAATTCCTTGCTCAATTAACAAGTCCGTAAGAGGTAATTACAACTTGAGTTACTCATATAACAAGTTTCCATATAGAAACTACTGGTTAGTAAAATAACATCTACAGATCTAAATAACAAGTCCGTATATGATAATTATAACTTCAATACGTTGAATTACAAGTCTACATATGGAAATCTCTGCTTATGTCTAATAACAAGTCTGCATTTCTAAAACACAAGTTTACAAATGGAAATGACATGTCCACTATGTTCAATAACATGCTTGCATTTACTAATTACAATTTAGGACTGCAGCACCATTAGCTTCATTACAATATTTCTATACGAATTACCAACAATATATTAGTAAATAACAAGATTCAATTGGAAAACATAACCACTTACACGTCTGGATCATTCCTTGCTCTACGTTCCCTATCATTCCCTTTCCCTCCTACATACACATGACCACTGCTGTCATTATATCTAAACAAGTTGCTGATATCACCATCATCACAAAGATCAATCAATGTACTCTCATCAAATTTAACTTTATACTTAATCTCATATCCACCACCATCATTGCCTATCCACTGTGAAATTATTCCACACAACTCGTCTACTGTTATCCATTCTTTTATACTGGTTACCCTTACACTCCCTCCAATATATTTAACTATCCCTTCACCATTTGCTTCAAAATGTCCACCAATGTGCACGTAACAGAACAACTCCTTCCCACAGCTTCTTCGGTTATTGAAATCCATTTTTCATACTAATCTGCAGCAAAAATTTACGTTTAGTCAGTACGTTAGCTTCACTAATAAATATTTACTCATTTATTCCATCGACTCAACCATTTACATACCAAATTAAAAACCCGTGACCTCCTGTCTTCCCAACATCACTTTAGGCCTTCACAACTTCACTTTAGGGCTTCACAACTTCACTTTAGGGCTTGACGACTTCAACACCGAAAATCATGGTATCGTCATTCCCTCATTCCGCGGCAACACCTCAACGTTCACGGTCAAACTAACGGCCATTATCCAACCTACACTCTGCCAAACCACTACACTCTGACCCCTTCCCCATCGCAACCAGCACCGTGCACTACAAATGACAGATGACCGTTCAGACTACGAAAACAAAAATATCCCACCTCCAACTAACCACAACCTCCTACATTGTCATATCTTTCATCTTCAACTACACCTCCCATTCCCTCCCTTCCTCCAGCCTACTCACCCACACAGCAGAGATGAAGATGGAGAATGTGACGATGTGTAACTCTTACAGGGAACAATACAAGAATGGTTTACTCAGTAAGTTAGTCGCATTATTGCCAATGTTCGAAGATCCCAATATCGCACATATTCGTTCGGCTCATCCTACTCCGCCAGCTCTCCCGCCACCCATTAAAATCCTGGTCTCTGCCTTCATTAACAGTCATGATGAGTGAGGGGCATTTCAGCCATTTTCCTCACATTTCATAATTGCAAATTGGGACCGGGTCCTCTGCAGCAATTTCTCAAATTGGGGGTCCCTGATTGCCATTTTATATATTGGGGGGTCTTTATTTGCAATTTCCCCAAACAATTTTGCCATGGCCTTTAAAATTAATAAATAACCAGTTCTTTTTTGGTCCAACGAAATAAATTATCAGTTCAATCATTCATGAGAGAGAAAAAATTCCAGCTCAATGTTGTCTTCATCACCTAGGTGTTTAACAACTCTTAAAAATGCTTTTCAGAAATACTTTTTCGTAAAACAAGACAAACTTTTTTATATATTTATTTTGTAAACCAAAAAAATACTTCTGAAATTATAGTTTGGTTTCTATCCAAACACCCCCTTAAGCATATATAAAACCAGCTTACACAGTAAATTGCAACAAACAAATTACAGATACATTCATCTTCTTGTTTGGGATTTTTTTCTTTAATAAATTAAGGTAACCTGAAGGGTGATATTTCAATTACGTACCCTACCCGGAGAAAAATTAAGACTGATATCTCTCATATATAACAAGAACATGTCCTCTGACTTTGCGTCATCCTGAAAAAAAAAATTACAACACAATTTATTATTGTTACACTGTCCACGCTTCCAGTTGTAATATATTAGTTCCGTTTTTTAATATAAAAACCTGTTTAATTTTTATTTTGATTATAAATATAAAATCCTAATCTATTTTATCTCTTATATTTATATATATTTTTAAAATATTTTTTATAATAATAATAATTTTAACTAATATATTTAATTAACAAGAATATTTTAAAACATATAAAACCTATATATTACAAATAAACGTAATATATATGTGTATATTAGCAGACCAGCAAGTTGTTGTAATTTATTGCGTCGCCGCTATCGCACATGGCGTTCCTGGAATATGCCCCGCCTGCAGCTACATGGTCCGTACAGCTATCAAGCTCTATAAAGTTACGATCCCACGCAAAATCAGCTGAACCAAAAAAAACATGGGTTCACTTCAGTGTGCCCACGTGCTTCTTTTTCCATTCATGGCCAAAGGCCACACCATCCCCCTCCTCGACTTCGCCCACCTCCTCCTCCGCCGCAACATATCCGTCACCGTTCTGACCACCCCCGCCAACCGTCCATTCGTAACTGAATCCCTCCAAAACACAACTGCGTCCATTGTCGATATCCCATTCCCTGCTAACGTCCCGGATATTCCCACCGGTGTCGAGAGCACCGATAAACTCCCTTCGATGTCTCTGTTCCAGAAGTTCGCCTCTGCCACTGTGCCCATGCAGCCCCACTTCGAAAGGATGCTGGAGACTCTACCGAGTGTAAGCTTTATAGTTTCTGATGGCTTCTTATGGTGGACCCTAAACTCGGCATCCAAGTTTGGTATTCCGAGATTGGCGTACCTCGGCATGAGCTCTTACTCTGAAGCCATTACCAGAGAAGCTTTTATCTCTGGGATCTGCTATGGGCCCCAGCCTGAAGACGAGCCAGTCAAGTTGAAGCGGTTCCCGTGGATCCGGCTCAGCAAGAACGACATAGACCCCGAGATTCGAAACCCAGACTCGGAAGGTCTTGCTTATAATGAGCTCATTGTGAAGGTGCTTTCATCCACCGCTGAAAGCGGAGTGTTGGTGAACAACTTCTATGAGCTGGAGCCTGTGTTCGTGAATCATATGAAGGAAGCATACAACCAAAAACCATATTACAGCGTGGGCCCGTTTTGTCTGGCAGAAGAGCCAAGGAATAAGCTAAGTGTAGAATCTAGAGAACCGACATGGATGGAGTGGTTAGACATGAAGCAGGAAGTTCTGTACGTGGCGTTTGGGTCACAGGCAGAAATATCAAGTCAACAGTTGAAAGAAATAGCGATTGGTTTGGAAGAATCGATGGTGGAGTTTATGTGGGTGATAAGGAAGGCGGAGTGGGAGCTGCCTCAAGGGTTCGAAGAAAGAGTGGAGAAGAGAGGGATCGTAGTGAGAGAGTGGGTCGACCAGAGGGCGATACTGAGGCACGAGAGTGTGAAGGGGTTTCTGAGCCACTGCGGGTGGAACTCGGTGCTGGAAGGAATATGCGCAGGAGTTCCGATACTGGCATGGCCAATGATGGCGGAACAGCACCTGAACGCGAAAATGGTGGAGGAAGAGATAAAGGTGGGGATGAGAGTGGACACGTACCACGGTTCAGTTCGAGGGTTAGTGAACGGAGAAGGGGTGAGGAAGATGGTCAGGGAGTTAATGGAAGGAGAGAAGGGGAGAGAAGCGAGGAAGAAGGTGAGAGAGTTGGCTGAGACGGCGAAGAAGGCGGTGGCGGAAGGCGGCTCATCCTGGCGAGCCTTGGACTCACTGCTTGCGGAGGCATGGAGCAGGAAGACAGAATCCTCCGGTGATCGTAGTAATGGTATGTAATTGGTTTACCCGCGCCTGTTACGGCAATGTGCTTGTGTTCATTACTGTGACCTCTCATGCTTGAAAGGAGGAACTAGTTTCGTGATCAGCTGCATAAGCTCATTAAATCTGAATTATTTATATTTTATTTTAATGATTCAGATTTAAAATCTTTAATTAATTATTTCTAAATAAAAAAATTATTTTTTGAAAGAATGATAATTAAGAAATTATCTCTATTTTAAATTCTATACATATTAAAATAATTATTTTAAATAAATAAAAAAAATCAAATCTAAACCATCAAAATAAAACATAGATGATTCAAATCTGATGAGTTTAGGGTGCTCATCAAAGTGATGAGCACCAAAACTGGTTCCTGCTTGAAAATGTACACTCGAGAAGTCCCCCAGAGTCGGTGCTTTCGTTGTAATATTATTAATAAGTCATAAGTTGAAACTCCCCATTCAGTTACGTCTGTATTGTGGGTTCTAATGTCATCTTCTTACGTTCTGGGTTATGAATTGGGACTCCGTGAGAGCGTCGGTTAGCAAAGGTCTTCTCCTGGGCAGCGATGTAATTTGAAGCGAAGAAGCACGGAACGTAGAAAACTAATCTCAGTACTCTAATACTCCTCCGGTTCTTAATATAAGATCCATTTAACTAATTTGATTAGATTAAGGAAGTTAGGTAAGTTAGTTAATTATAAGAAAATTGACACATTTTTCCTAAAACACCATAATCATCTTTCTTAATACCCCCTCTCTCTTTTACTTAATTATGGTTGAGGGAATATCTATAGGGGTAATTTAGAAAAAAATTGATAAATATGAGAAATGGGTCTTATATTTAAGACCAAAACTAACTCAAGAATTGGGTCCTATATTAAGGATCGGAGGAGTAATAAGGTTCTTAAATTTATCAAATCTGAATCATTCATATTTAATTTGAAAAATATAGATTTATTTTTAATTTTATTTATTTAAAATAATTATTTTAATATGTATAGAATAAAAATAAAAATAATTTCTTAATTATCATTCTTTCATAAAAATAATTTTTAAAAATAATTAATTAAAAATTTTTAATTTAAACAATTTAAATCAGATTTAAATAGCACAGATACGATGAGTTTAGGTGGTGACGACTAAAACTAATTCCCATATAGTCTGACATATGTACAAATTTATAATGATTAATAATTGTGATTTGGTAGGTGGCAAATGGTCGAAGTCGAAGGGAACAGCAATTTGAATCAAGTCTGCATCGCATTTAATATAATCTATTTTTATATTGGTAATATTTTAATGTGTACAAAATTTAAATTAAAACTTGATTTTTTATTTAAAAATTATCGTTTGAAAATTTAAACTTAGGTCATCAAAAATGCATTTATTCATAACAACTATAAACATCATTAATTAGGCCGAGCACGGGTAAACCTAAGTTTGTACAGCTTGTTTGCGTGCTCGTTGCTAACTGCACGCAGCCTACAGATCCGCCTAATAAAATACTAGGTCGTTCTGCCATCTATTGCATCTCTTTCTTTTTTCGGGAAAAAAAAAATTTTGAATGAACGCTCGGATCCTCCTATAAAGATTTTAATTTTTTTAAAAAAATTATGTAACAAATATTCGTTGTGTATTTTGGTTTTGAGGTGAAGGGTTTTTTAATTTGGATGGTTGTCGGCAACTTTAGAAAGAGGATTCCGGCCATATAACGTATGCTCTAGTTCGCTAGTATTATACATATTCCGTATAAAAAAAACGTAACTCACGCACATGCACATTTAAGTTGTTTCTTATTTCTCGGGAAAAAATGGTTTGGCTTCCAAGATCTCCTTTCTCTTCCCCCGATCTGTTTCCCCGTTATTGGGTTAATGTTTTTTATTTACTTCTGTAATTATCTTATGCCTATCTCCCTGTTCAAATTAGGCCCCCGAAGACCATCTTGTTATCTGGTTAGTCCGTGTTTCTTCTCTTTATGAACAGGGGTCTTTCGTATCCGTCAAAAGCACTTTAAAAAACTTTTATGCATATTAAAACAAAACTCCCACCGCAAATTTATTTTAAACTCCATAAAATTACTTTTAAATATAATAGCTAATTCAATTACTCCTAAATACTTCTGGGCAGGTAAACTTGTAATGAATGATTGTAATTTAGGTCACGATTTGTTTTCACTTTTACAAGACCGAAAAAGTCGTTTTGAGGAGATTTCAAAAGCAAAAAATAGTTTGGGTATTTTTTTCAGAGAGTACATGTATAATAATATTTCTGAAAATTTACTTTCCAAAAGTTACTTTTGGTTGTTTTTTTTTTTTTGGTTTCTGAACAACTTTCACGCACTCCACAATTACTTTCCAAGCAATTTTTACTTTATCAAAATTCAAACATTTTTAAAAATATGTTCAAACATAAATTTCATTGTATACAATAACAAATAATTTTTTATTAGCGGATAGACTTTTAATATAGAACTTTAAATAAATTAAAAATCAACTACTTATTGCCAGTGGCAAGATGGAGGCTATGATGCCCACCCTATTTTTATGTGTGTGCGTGTTAAGGGCCTAGCAATCTGGGCTTCTTCCCTGAGAGACAAAACCCATGCCACCCACTTCAAACCAAGATGCGTGCGTGTATGTGTGAACGTGAAACGTAGATAGAGACAAACAATAATACGTGGCTAAGAAAAATTGATTTAATTCGTAAAAAAAGTCAGTTTATAATCTACAAAATTATGAGTTCAAATCTCATTACTGGTATAAAAACCTTATTAATAAGTGATCTGTAAATACTTCTATAAATATTTTTTAAATTTAAAAAAAAAAACATGTTTTGATTCTAATAAGCTCGGATACAACACACACAAAAAAAGGTACCGGCTTCAGGGGTTCGTTGGAAATTCATGCTGTAGTACGTAAAAGATTGCAGTTGTCAGGTGATATAGTGCCTATTTGGCATCACTTATTTTAAGTTTATAAGTAGCTTATAAGCTCTATAAGCCCGATTGACATAATAGGTCTGTTTGGTTGGGCTTTTTTGCAATCGGGCTTTTGTCTGAAAAGCTACAATAAGCTATAAGCTAAAATTAACAGCTTATGACTTATGGCTTATGATTTATAGCTTTTAAAATATGGAGAGAGAGAAAGTTAAGAAATTTATTATCTCTTTTGGTTCTTATTATAAGCCTCAAATAACTAATTTATAGATAATAAAAAATTAGTTAAAATTAATTGAAAGCAATAAATAAGTTAGAAATATACTTTTACTTTTAAATATACTCCTAAAAATATATTTTTATTTTTTCATGTTTTATTTTATATTTAAAATATTTTTTATGACTTCTTCATATTAAATTATTTTAATTTCATTATATTATGTGAAATTATTTTTTTAATAATGTTTTATTATTTATTAAAACTCATATCTATTTTGGTCATTTTACAACCAAACTTACTTTTGCTCAATCATTATCCAAACAACCTTTTATCAATCTCACTTTTGCAAATAAGCTGCTTTTCTAAACTCCAATCCAAACACAATTCAGTTTATTCAATTTAGCTTTTACTCAACTTCACTTCTCCATAAGCTGCTTTTTCAATGGCTCATCCAAACGGATTATGTGTGCGTAATTCCTTTCTATCCCCAGTGATCAAGCAAACGCGTACGGAATCCCAATCACGCATCTCTTGTTTGCTGAGGCCAGCATGGATCAGATCGCAATGCTTAAACAATATCTTTGCAGACATATTAATAAGATAATTAACAGATTAATTCGGGTAGTCATTTAATTATTAATTGAATATAAGAACTAATTAACGTGTGGCGTTGTTGTCTCCGATGAAAGCCAGAGTAAAACACAACAAAAGCAAGGTTACTTAAGCAAGAGAATCAAACACACAGTGGTGATATAAAAAGGAATGGAAATTTGAGTAAGGGCCCGTTTGGCATCACGTTTGAAGGCCCAATCGTGCGTTTCCATCTGGCTTCTCATGTGGCTGCGTTTTTAACATGTTTGGATTCACAGTGGGCTAATCTGACTTCTGAGCCTCAGATGGACTTCTGGGAGAAGTTGATTTCGGGTGCTTTTTTTTTGGATGCTGGTGCGTTTGAGAAAACCATTGGAATGTTTATTAGAGTGTTAAATATTTTTACCTCCCTGACCCTCTGCATGATTTTTCTCTCACGACACACGCACTCTCATTAGCTAAACAGGGAGGCTCGCGACTTGCTACCATAGCTCCGCCGTGCGCCCTCCGTCTCCGGCCGTGTCTCCGCCGTGGTCCACCGTCTCATCATTTTGGGTCTTGTGTGGGAGTGGATCGATGAGGTGTTCTTGTTCGTGCAGTTCGTCTGGTCTTCTTGTTTGAACACGATCTGAAGCTAAACGGAGCCTCGCGACGTCTTCTGCCATAACTCCGCCGTGCGCTCTCCGTCTCCCGCCGTGGTCCAACGTCTCATCGTTTTGGTTCTTCCAGTTCGTCCAATTGTTCTTCTTCTTCCTCCTCTATTTCGTTGCAAACCAGCATCGCCATCAGTTGTTGCCGCCGCCGCATCACGAACTGGGTGCAATTAGGTGGACTAGCTTCAACGAAACTCAATTTCGTGACCCTCAGTGCATTCAAGAAGTAACCAGGACGGTGAAGAAATGGGATGTTTGGGGGTTTGGAGAAGAGGAGACCCAAGACGGTGACTCTGGTGTTTGATGTATCGTATTTGATTTATAATTTATATCTTTATCCACTTAAATTTTTATTTTAATAATTTAATTTTTAATACTTCATTTAAAATGTTCACATTATATATATAATTTTTTTTCTTATAATAAATTAAATTTCTTTATTTTTAATAATTTTATCTTCCTTACTTCTTAAAAAATAGTCAAATTATATATATCTAATATTAGATATATACTATTCAATAAAATTCATATCCTTTTAAGTCATTTTACATCCAAACTTACTTTTATATTTATCATCCAAACAAGTTTCAACTTCTCAAACTGACTTTTTTTCAAAATCCAATCCAAACATAAATCACATTACCCTATCTGACTTTTAC